CCACACACACACACCACACCCCACACACAATCACCACACCCCCACACACAATACACCACACCCCCACACACAGTATACACCACACCCCACATACACAGTACTCACACACACCACACACTACACACACACACCACACACCCCATACACATACCACACACCCCATACACAATACACCACACACCCCATACAATACACCACACACCCCCATACACACATACCACACCCCCATACACAATACACCACACCCCCATACACACACACCACACCCCCATACACAACACACCACACACCCCATACACACACACACCACACCCCCCATACACACACACCACACACCCCATACACAAACACCACACACACACCCCCATACACACACACCACACCCCCATACACAATACACCACACACCCCATACACACACACCACACACCCCCATACACACACCACACCCCATACACACACACCACACACCCCACACACACACACCACACACCCCCATACACACACACCACACACCCCCATACACACACACCACACCCCCATACACACACACCACACCCCCCCATACACACACACCACACACCCCCCCCATACACACACACCACACACCCCATACACACACACCACACCACCCCCATACAACACACCACACCCCACACACACACCACACACCCCCACACACACACCACCCCATACACAATACACCACACCCCATACACACACACACCACACATACACATACACCACACACCCCCATACACACACACACACACCCCATACACACACACCACACACCCCATACACACACACACACACCCCATACACACACACCACACCCCCCATACACACACACCACACTCATACACACACACTACACCCATACACAATACACCACACCCATACACACACACCACACCCCATACACACACACCACACCTATACACACACACACCACACTCTATACACACATACCACACACCCCCATACACACACACCACACCCCCATACACAATACACCACACCCCACACACACACACACCACACCCCCATACACACACACCACACACCCCACACAATACACCACACCCCACACACACACACCACACCCCCCATACACACACACACACCACACCCCCATACACACACACACCACACACCCCACACACACACACCACACACCCCATACACACACACCACACCCCATACACACACACCACACTCATACACACACACCACACCCCCCATACACACACACCACACCCCCATACACACACACCACACCCCCATACACACACACACCACACCCCACACACACACACACCACACACCCCCATACACACACACCACACCCCCATACACACCACACACCCCATACACACACACCACACCCCCATACACACACACACACACACCCATACACACACCACACACCCCATACACACACACCACACACCCCCATACACACACACACCACACCCCACACAATACACCACACACCCCATACACACACACCACACACCCCCATACACAATACACCACACCTACACACACACTACACACCCCTATACACAATACACCACACCCCATACACAATACCACACCCCCCATACACAATACACCCACCCCATCATCCACACCCCATCAATACACCACACCCCCCATGCACAATACACCACACCCCCATACACAATACACCACACCCCCATACACAATACACCACACACCCCATACACAATACACCACACCCCATACACAATACACCACACACCCCCCCATACACAATACACCACACCCCCATACACACCACACCCCATACACAATACACCACACACCCCCCTTGCAATACACCACACCCCCCATACACAATACACCACACCCCCCATACACAATCACCACACACCCCATACACAATACACCACACACCCCATACACAATACACCACACCCCCCATACACAATACAACACCCCCATGCACAATACACCACACACACCCATACACAATACACACACACCCCCACCACACAATACACCACACACCCCCCCATACACATACACCACACCCCCATACCTATACCACACCCCCATACACAATACCCCACACCCCCATACACAATACACCACACACCCCCCATACACAATACACCACACACCCCATACACAATACACCACACACCCCCCATACACAATACACCCACACCCCCATACACAATACACCACACACCCCCCATACAATACACCACACCCCCCCCATACACAATACACACACACCCCCCCCATACACAATACACCACACACCCCATGCACAATACACCACACCCCCACTCCCCTGACAGAAATCCCCCTACCTTAACCTAACCTCTTTACCTTCTTACCCCTGTTCAGACGTACATAGATACCTTAAAACACACATAGGTGCCCAAAACGTACACGAATACCCAAGAACGTACATGGATACCCCAAAAACATACATAGATGCTTCAAAACCCTAGATACCCAGAAACGTAAGCACGCCATAAACCTACATAGATACCCCCAAACGTACATGTAGATACTCAGACGCGTACATAAATGCGCCCAAAACGTACCTAGATACCCAAAAACGTACATAGATACCCAAAACGTACATACATTCTCAAAAGTAATGCAATTCTTTAAAACGTACATTAATGCCAGAAAAACGTATATGAAATGTCGAGGGTATGGAAGGTCAGTTTGTCAGCAAGGTGTGATGTGGCTTGGGAAGTGGTCAGGTTGTCAAGGCGCGCCGCGTTTGTGTGTAAGGGGGTGTTTTTGTCTGTGCATGTATGTATGTGTATCGGCCACTGTGTGTTCAGTGTGTCTTGAAGCTGTATCCTGTACTTGCACCTGCACCTTGGACACATCTTATTGTTTAAGTTCCTCTATGGTCAACAACCAACGTCCTATGTACCCTGACCGCCGCCCGCCCTCGCCCATCACCACCATGGTTATACATACATACATAAAAGCTAGTGACAGGGGAAGGGTTCAGGGGAAGGATAAGGGAGGATAGAGTGAATTTTAGAAGGAGAGAACAGGTGCAGTGGCTAAACACCGCTTGCGTGAGGGGTAGGCAATGTGCCCGGTAGGTGCAACAATCACTCAGGGCGAGGCAGAGGGAGGGCGGAGCAGGACCGGGCAAGCAAAGGGCCAACTCAGGTGCTCTGGTTGTCGTCTTAAGCTTAGGCAGTGTTGGCAAAGTGGAGGAAGAACCGCCCGCCACGGCAGCGGCGCCAAGCCGAAAGCGCTGGTGGACGGAGGCTCAGGCCACACACGATCAAAGTAACAGAAGGTGAAAATATGGAAATGTAGCTAGTCGAGGGTTGTTTGAGGAAAGATGAAGGTAAAGTCTTTGAGCTATGTCAAAGAGGAACGGAGCGAGTTGGAGGAATATGGTTATTGTACTCTCTCTCTCTCTCTCTCTCTCTCTCTCTCTCTCTTTTATATATTATATATGTGTATATATAATATATATATATATATATATATATATATATATATATATATATATATATATATATAAAACACGGGCTTCAGTAGCGTGTTAGTTGAGTGGTTAAGAGTGTCGACGCGGAATACTAAATTCACGGGTTCATTGTACCATAAACAGGAACATGGTAACAGGGTTCGTTTGGGCTTCGAAACAGGAACCGAACCCAGTCTTTTCTATACTAACCGAACCCTATGTTAACCTAACGTTATCAGATCTTAAGTTAACCTAACCTAACACATCCCCGTCTTAACCTAACGTAACCCATCTTAACTTTTTAACCTCGGCCTAACCCAACCCAACCCTAACTCAACCTTATCCTAACTTAACCTTAACCTAATTTAACCTTAACCTAACTTAACCTAATCTACCTTAATGTCAACCTAACCACACCCAATGATGTCTTAAGTTAACCTACGCCAACCTACCCTTAACTTAACCTACCCTCACCCTAATTTACTCAATCTAATCTAAGTTAACGTGCCATATTGTTAGGTTAAGATTTGTGAATGGAATTTTCTGTGGATGTTTGGTTAGGTTAGGTTAAGTTGGGCTAGAGTCAGGTCAGGTTAGATCAGGGCAGGTTAACTTAGGTTGGTTAAGATAGGTTAGGTTAAGGTAAGGGGGATTTTCTGATTGAGGGGTAGGTGTGAGAGTGTGTTGTGTGTGAAGTGTGTGTATGTATTTTGTATGTGTGTGTACAGTATGTGTGTGTACAGTATGTGTGTGTATGTGTATGTATGTATGTATATAGGTAGGTGTCTGTGTATGGCCTACTTCCAATATGCCAAACAATCTCAGTACAACATAACCTTAAATTTCATGTGACTAAAGATAACACAATTATTCCCACATATATAACCCAACAAACAGTACTAATTCCTGACTGTTGAGGGGGACACAAGGTCAAAGGTCACCGGTGATTAGAACCTATAGCAAGGCGTCTTACATTACTGCTTTATTTGGCCTATTGTTAGTAATGACGTTTGAGCTGTCAGATTGGGTTAGATTGTTTACAAGATGGAGCCTCGTGCTGATGTTATCTTCCGGCGGCTATACTGTACACGTCAAGCTGTATTGGGGGTGGGTCAGGTGTAGAGATGGGTGTGTGGGGATAGTGGAGTTGTGTGTGTGTGTGTTTTATTTCCCGGTGATTTTAGAGAGAATAGACATTTTCTTTGGACTACTGACGATACATAGAAAATAGGGATAAATTTTATAGATTCCGTTTTCTTTTATGTCCGACGATCCACAGAAAACAGGGAAGATTTATTGATGGCAGGGGCTACTATGTTTATTTTCTATTGTTAATAACTGGTAGACTCACAGTGTGTTTAGGTAATGTGTACGTATGTTAGCGGTGATGTGTATAATCTAATGTGTACATATGTTAGCAGAGATGTGTATTATCTAATGTGTACGTATGTCAGCGGTGATGTGAAGAATGTGTATCAACAAGTTTTAACGTTGGCTTTCTCTCTTCTCTGCCCCAGGAACCACCATGGAGTGGATGGTGATGAATATGGATCGATTCTTCGCCCCGACCATCCAATTAGGAGCTTATGTGGGTGACGACAAGTACCTCGTGGTGCCCAACTGTCAGAGTGAGTACCCCCTTGTGAGTTAGTGGTGGTACTCCTTGAGTTAGTGGTGGTACCCTTTGTGAGTTAGTGGTGGTACCCCCTTGTGAGTTAGTGGTGGTACCTTGTGAGTTAGTGGTGGTACTCCTTCTGAGTTAGTGGTGGTACTCCCTTATGAGTTAGTGGTGGTTCCTTGTGAGTTAGTGGTGGTACCCCTTGTGAGTTAGTGGTGGTACCCCTTGTGAGTTAGTGGTGGTATCTTCTGAGTTAATGGTGGTACCCCTTGTGAGTTAGTGGTGGTACTCCCTTGTGAGTTAGTGGTGTTGAGTTAGTGGTTGCTGTGAGTTAGTGGTGGTACCCCTTGAGTTAGTGGTGGTACTCCCTTGTGAGTTAGTGGTGGTACTTTGAGTTAGTGGTGTTGAGTTAGTGGAACTCCCTTGTGAGTTAGTGGTAGTTTGTAGAGTGGTGGTGGTACTCCTTCTGAGTTAGTGGTGGTACTCCCTTGTGAGTTAGTGGTGGTACTCCTTGTGAGTTAGTGGTGGTACTCCTTGTGAGTTAGTGGTGGTACCTTGTGAGTTAGTGGTGGTTCCTTGTGAGTTAGTGGTGGTGCCTTGTGAGTTAGTGGTGGTACCCCTTGTGAGTTAGTGGTGGTACTCCCTTATGAGTTAGTGGTGGTACTCCCTTGTGAGTTAGTGGGTACTCCTTGTGAGTTAGTGGTGGTACCCCCTTGTGAGTTAGTGGTGGTACCCCTCGTGAGTTAGTGGTGGTTACCTCTTGTGAGTTAGTGGTGGTTACCTCTTGTGAGTTAGTGGTGGTACCCGTGAGTTAGTGGTGTTTACCTCTTGTGAGTTAGTGGTGGTACCCCTTGGCGGAGTTAGTGGTGGTTACCTCTTGTGGAGTTAGTGGTGGTTACCTCTTGTGAGTTAGTGGTGGTTACCTCTTGTGAGTTAGTGGTGGTTTACCTCTTGTGGAGTTAGTGGTGGTACCCCCTTGTGAGTTAGTGGTGGTACCTTGTGAGTTAGTGGTGGTACCTCTTGGGGTTAGTGGTGGTTACCTCTTGTGAGTTAGTGGTGTTTACCTCTTGTGAGTTAGTGGTGGTACCCAGTTAGTGGTGGTACCTCTTGTGTGAGTGGTGGTTCCTCTTGTGAGTTAGTGGTGGTTACCTCTTGTGAGTTAGTGGTGTTTACCTCTTGTGAGTTAGTGGTGGTACTCCTTGTGAGTTAGTGGTGGTACCCCTGTGAGTTAGTGGTGTTACTCTTGTGAGTTAGTGGTGTTTACCTCTTGTGAGTTAGTGGTGTTTACCTCTTGTGGAGTTAGTGGTGGTACCTCTTGTGAGTTAGTGGTGTTTACCTCTTGTGAGTTAGTGGTGTTTACCTCTTGTGAGTTAGTGGTGTTTACCTCTTGTGAGTTAGTGGTGGTCCCCCTTGTGAGTTAGTGGTGTTTCACCTCTTGTGAGTTAGTGGTGGTTACCTCTTGTAAGTTAGTGGTGGTACCCCTTGTGAGTTAGTGGTGTTTACCTCTTGTGAGTTAGTGGTGGTTACCTCTTGTGAGTCGTCTGCTAGGGTGAGTAAACAACACCCTCTTGTTTACTGCCCTGGGTGAGTGGATCTCCTTTATTAATATAAGGGTGACTATTTCTTGTTTACTTGTTTATATTTATACTAGGGTGAGTATGTCATTGTTTACTTGCTTATGTTTGCACTAGGGTTAGTATATCATTGTTTTCTTGCTTATATCATTGTTTACTTGCTTATGTGTGCACTAGGGTTAGTATATCATTGTTTACTTGCTTATGTTTGCACTAGGGTTAGTATATCATTGTTTACTTGCTTATGTTTGCACTAGGGTTAGTATATCATTGTTTACCTTATATCATTGTTTACTTGCTTATGTGTGCACTAGTTAGTATATCATTGTTTACTTTTATATCATTGTTTACTTGCTTATGTGTGCACTAGGTTGAGTATGTCATTGTTTACTTGCTTCTGTGTGTACTTAGGGTGAGTATATCTCCTTGTTTAAAGTATGGAGGTGAGTAATATACCTTGTTTGTGTGATGTATGGAAGGTTTTCAAGGTTGTTGCGTAAACATTGGCAGAACGTTATTTTGTAGTGCGTAATTTTATTTTGGGGGGGGGGTTGAGATGGATTTTAACTGTGGCAAACGTCTTTTTTTGTATTTTTTGTAGGGGTTGGTCTCTTAGGGAGTACAGTGACAAACGTTATTAGGAGTGGGTGCCAACGTTTTTTGTATTTTTTGTAGGGGTTGGTCTCTTAGGGAATTACAGTGACAAACGTTATTAGGAGTGGGTGTCAACGTTTTTTGTATTTTTTGTAGGGGTTGGTCTTAGGGAATACAGTGACAAACGTTATTAGGGTGGGTGCCAACGTTTTTTGTAGTTTGTGGGGGTTGGTCTCTTAGGAATTACAGTGACAAACGTTATTAGGTGTGGGTGCCAACGTTTTTTGTATTTTTTGTAGGGGTTGGTCTCTTGAGAATTACAGTGACAAACGTTATTAGGAGTGGGTGCCAACGTTTTTGTATTTTTGGGGGTTGGTCTCTTAGGAATTACAGTGACAAACGTTATTTGGAGTGGGTGCCAACGTTTTTTATTTTTTTGTAGTAATGGATCTTTTAAATGGTGAGGCGTTTTTGTAGGGGTTGATATTTTAGACAGTGACAAACGTTATTATGGGTGGATCTTTAACAATGGCAACGTTTTTTGAAGAAGTAATGGCAACGTTTTTTGTAGAAGTGGATCTCTTATACAGTGAGGACGTTTATTTTTTATTTTTGTAGCGGTGTGGTATATTTGTCGTAATAACATACCATGTAGGGTTGTCGCAATGCTCCCGTGTGGAAATACTGAGGAAGCTTTTGAGTTAGGTCTTAAGAACTGTATTTGTGGAGTAGGTTACGCGGGCCAGTTTAACCTGACCTAACTAATAACCCAATCTAACCTAACTTAACCTAACTTAACCAGCAACCTAGCAAACTTAACCCAACCCTAACCAAACTTAACCCAACCTAACCAAACTTAACCTAACCTAACCAGCCCAACCTAACCTAACCTTCTAACCTAACTTAACCCAACCTAACCTAACCAGACCGCACCTCACCAAGACTTGACGTGGTAGGCGCCCTCTGACGTATGTAGACTGAGGCTGTGCGTGTGTTTGTTTTGTATGGGAAATGTGTTGACTCTCCCCCCGTCCCCCCCACTCATCTCCCACCCCACCCATCTCCACCCTCCACCCATCTCTCCCACCCCCCCATCTCTCACCCATCCTCCCCACCCCCCCATCGCTCACCCATCCTCCCACCCCACCATCTCTCCCCACACCCCCCACCATCTCTCCCACCCCACACCCCACCGCCCACCCCATCAGTCCTATATATAAAATGTGACTTTGTACTCTCTCTCTCCAGCCACTCACAAGCTTGGATGACGGTCTTTCTTTAGTCGTATGTTGTGTTTATAGTGGAACAGAGGGATCACCTGAAGATTACCCCCCTTGTGGTTAGGTTAGGTTAAAGGGTCATAGAGATTAAGCCCCCCCACCATCCACCCCACCCTATATGCTTATTTCACCTGATGACTAAACACCCTATTGCTACCTACCTGAGGTTAGGTTAGGTTAGGTTCATGTTAGATTGGGCTAGTTTAGATTTGGTTAGTGTTAGGTTAGGTTAGATTAATTTTGGTGAGGATGGGTTTGGTTGGTTTCGTTAAGATAGGATAGATTAGGTTAGGTTAAGATAGGTTAAAAGGTTGGTTAAGATAGGTTAGAATAGGTTAGGTTAAGATAGGTTAGAATAGGTTAGGTTAGGTTATTACTTTTGGACTGGAGGCAGAAGATACGTCACCTGTTTATTATAAGTTTAATCTATTTTTATTAGTGACTCTTACCTGTACTTCTCTTTTGAGTGTTTTGTGTGTGTGTGTGTGTGTGTGTGTGTGTGTGTGTGTGTGTGTGTGTGTGTGTGTGTGTTCGTCTTGGTAATGTGTGGTGTTGAAATAGCAAATAGTGGTGGTGTGGTAGTGGTCTGGTGGTGGTAGTGGTTGGTAGTGGTAGACTGGTTGTAGTGTTGGTTGTGGGTGATGGTAGTAGCAGTAGTGGTTGGTGGTTGTGATGGTGGTGGTTGGTGGTTGTGGTGTGTGGTGGTAGTAGTGGTTGGTGGTTGTGGTGGTGATGGTGGTGATGGTGGTGGTGGTGGTTGGTGGTTGTGGGTGGTGGTAGTAGTGGGTGGTGTGGCCAGAGTTGATCTTCATGTTGTGACACTCCGCCGCTGACACACACACACACACCCGATCCGTGACGCTCCTGACCGCTGACGCACATGGGTCACAACGTGGATGGGGGGTAGGTATGTAAGGGCGTGTTACGATGTTTGTGGGGGTGGGGTTTAGGGAGGGCGAGGGAGAAGAGGGGGGTGGGGAGGAGAGAGGAGGTGTGAGGGGGTGAGGAGAGGGAGAAATAAGGGGGAGATATAAAGGGGTGTGAGGGAGATAAAATGGAGAGGATGAGGGGAGAAGAAGGAGAGTGGGTGTGGGGAAAGAGGAGAGTGGGTGTAGGGAGAAGGGGGGGGGTGTGGGGAGAAAGAAGGGAGGGAGTGTGAGGGAGAGAGAGGGGGGTGTCAAACAGTAGTACCGTCGGGGAACAAGCCACCCTGGCCTCAGTGTCGTCGCCTCCCTCAAATGGACGTCTACAGTACAGCGCCTCCGTCAGAGTTCCAATGTACGTGAGACGAGTTCCTGGTAAGGGTGTGGTTGTGGTGTTGGGTTACAGGTGTGTGGTGTTGGGTTATGTGTGTGGTTGTGGTGTTGGGTTACAGGTGTGTGGTGTTTGTTGGGTTACATGTGTGTGGTGTTGGGTTACAGGTGTGTGGTGTTGGGTTATGTGTGTGGTTGTGGTGTTGGGTTACAGGTGTGTGGTGTTTGTTGGGTTACATGTGTGTGGTGTTGGGTTACAGGTGTGTGGTTGGGTTTATGTGTGTGGTTGTGGTGTTGGGTTACAGGTGT